TGTGCCTACAGTGGCTCAACTATAACTTTATCAAGCGACGAGACTACTTTTTGTGCGAAAAAAAAACGTAAATAACGACTTTATTCGACTTTCCATTACTTCCTTATGGGCGCATGCGCGAGAACTGAGACGAGACCGTTCTTCTTCGACTACTTTTTGTTACCGCTGCTCACCGCTTAGGAGTTTTACCGCCCCTACCGTATAAGATGACGTACTGATATAGCCGGAGGCGCAAAACGTTCTGTTTACAAGCAGTACGTCATCTTATACGGTAGGGGCGGTAAAACTCCTAAGCGGTGAGCAGCCGGTAACAAAAAGTAGTCGAAGAAGAACGGTCTCGTCTCAGTTCTCGCGCATGCGCCCATAAGGAAGTAATGGAAAGTCGAATAAAGTCGTTATTTACGTTTTTTTTTTCGCACAAAAAGTAGTCTCGTCGCTTGATAAAGTTATAGTTGAGCCACTGTAGGCACATGGAATATTTAAACCTTTTCTTTTAATGACTTTCTGGGCCGTCAAGAGGCAGTCCTCAGGCTGTCTATGGAAAAGTGATCCAGCCCTCAGATTCAATCAAAAATATCTTTATTTGTGTTCCGAAGATGAACGAAGGTCTTACGGGGTTGGTACAACATGGGGGTGAGTAATTAATGACTTAATTTTCATTTTTGGGTGAACTAACCCTTTAACATGCTGACTTGTGTGGACCAACTTATATTTGAGAGAATTTATGGCTATTAGGTTTATACTTTTTGGTCCTGCGCTGTGTAGTGATTCAGTTGAGTTGATAAATATGTCTATACTAATGTTTCGGTGAACGCTTAAGTTTAATATACAACGACCATAATGAAAGGCAAGCACGGCGCATGTATCTGATCTATTTTGAGCAGCATTCAGTATGGGATTTGGGGGGAGTACAATTATGGGAAGTACAATATTTTAAAAAGGTTTATATTCCACAGAGTAAAGAAAGTCATATAGGTTTGGAAGGACTAAATTAAATTTGACTGAAGCTCTACAGAATTAGTCATTGTGTGACTACAGTATTTGTTTGGGCACATAAAACATTATTTATTTTTTCAAGATGTTTAAGGTATTTTTGCAGTTCGCTTGTAGACCTGTGGTTTAAGAATTTTCAAATCTAGGCAAAATTTTGCCCTTAGTTTCTCAATTAATGTGAACTTGTAAAACTGAGTATTTCCTTTGTATTGTATTTATAATTTTCAAATCTAGGCAAAATTTTACCGTTAGTTTCTCAATTAATATGAACTTGTAAAACCTTGTAAATTCCTTTGTATTAAGAGTCATGAACAAACATTACTTTGTTGCTTTATAGAACCAGACAGCGGTGTGTGTGTGTGTGCGTGCACTGCAAGTGTTTATTTCTTTCCGGCTTAATTAAATAAGCGCCGATAAAACGATGAGTGTAGTAATTAGCTCCAGATATCAGCTGGAGGTTTCAACCCTACATTGGCATGGTGGGTGTGACTCAAATCAACAAGAACAACACACACACGCACAGAAACATTTCTCTCTAAACACGCACAACCAGCAGGGGGAGCAGCAGTTGGCTGTTCTCACGAACAACTGACCCAATAAAAGATTGCGAGAGAAAAACACGCACAGAAAGAGTGTGTGTTTTGTGCCCTGAGATCTTTAGCCGTCTCTGTGCCAGTGAAACAGGAAATGAGTGTCTCAGATCACCCCGGCTGTAATAACATCCCATCCACCTGATGAACGGGAGAGAGAAGAGATGACCTGCTGGTTCCGAAAAGCTTTAAGAAGCAGCCATGGGGCAAATAACTAAGAGTACAAGATTACCGTATAGAGCTCTTTCTGTATGTGGACGCCCACAAGCACTTTCATTGATTCTTTCATTTGAATTTTCATTGAGGATGTAAGGTTTGGTCTGATGCACACAGGTTCTTGCAGTCTGTCCAAACTCCTTTTCTCTTGCTCCCCATCCGGCATGTTCATTTAATATCTTCTCTCAAACATTATTAAGCTTTCTTTCCGCGTCTTTTCACGACTCCCATCACTTCTCCTGCATATTTTTACATAACCTTCTGCTAATCTTATGGTCATACTGTTGAAAAATTCAAATATTATTACTTTACGATTTTGAGAGGGCAATTGGTACACTATTAAAATTGGGTTGGTGTGTTCAGAGGTGCAGTTTTGTGAAAATGGACCCTTTTCACTTGGGTTTGGAACTTCAAAGTAGAATAACAGCGTTAACCATTTAAAAAAAAAAAAAAAAAACTTTTTTTTTATCAACCAGAAGAAAAGGTGCTGGATACGTTGCTCTGTCTCAACTATGTGGAGGTGATTGAAGGGTATCTTAGGGATGCACGATATGCTGTTATCATATCAGTCGTGACCTTATATTAGGTTTGTTTTTAATTATTTTCATTGGTATATATTGAATGCACACTACTGTTCAGAAGGTTGGCGTCATTAAGATACATTTTTAAAGAAATTAATACTTTTATTCAGCAAGGTTGCATTAAATTGATCAAAAGTGACAGTTAAGACATTTAAAATATTACAAAAGGTTTCTATTTTAAATAAATGCAGTTCTTCTGAACTCTCTATTCTCCAAAGAATCCTGAAAAAATTTCCTCAAAAATATTAAGCAGCATAACCGTTTTCAACATTGATTCATTGTGCAGTATAGACAGATTTTTGATCATAACAGGAGATTTCACTCTTTTAGTGAGCTTGCACTGCAGCTGAACTGAAATAATATCAGCTTTGATTATAAAGGAAGCAATATAACCCTCTTTCTGATATAACATGCTCATAATTAAAAAAAAAGTTTAACATCCAAATTAAAACGAGTGATAACTGAAACTGTAATGTTTGGCAACAGACTCAACAAAAAAATCTGATATGTCAAAATAGATCCGGGCGTTTAGTAAAGTATAAAAGGGATTTTTGTTTATAATTATTTAATTCGACAAACTAGTATACAATTTTAATATTAGAAAAATATTGAGTATTGGCTATATGAAAATATCACCCAATATCTTGGTGTATTCCTAGTATGTATCTATTCATTTAGAATGCTAGCTAGCTGATGAAAAAACAAAAACAAGAAAATAATACCAGTCTTATTGGTATTATCATTTTGTGTACAAAAGTTCAAGCTTTTGTGTTAATGCGGGTCTGTATGACATGCATTTCCTCTTCAACGTTGTGTATTTCCATTTACTATAGTCCCCTGAAAGCTATTTTCATTACAGGGATATCGCGCTCACCTACACACAGCATCCCTAACATGTGCTAAGGCTTTTGTTAGCGTGAAACCGCTGACGTGGTGCACTCATTAACCAGGGTGGGTTTTTGAGGTGCCAGAGGATTTTCCCTGCGTGTAAACATAAATTATCATAGTGTTTTCTCATTCCCCTCTTCTCCCACCGCCTCCACTTTATTTCAACACGTTATTTATATTTTTATCTCCTCACCCACGCTTTGTTTCAAAAATCTAGCGATCTGACTATGGAGACCTTTTTAAGGCATCATTGGTGTGCTTTCAAAGTTAAGGCTTTTGAAATATATTGTAAAAGAATTCTGTGTGTGTCTCTGTGTTGATGTGTGATGGCCTGTGAAAAGCTAATGTGTCGCGTGTAACCTCACGTTGGCGGCTTGCACAGGATGATGCTGACCCCTGGACACACACATCCCCCTCTGCATTACGCCTGCAAGCTGAATCTAAACTGAATCATAAGTTCCTTATATTCATTCGTGTGTGTCAAGAGGCCATGTCCATCAAAATGCTGGAAGTGCTTTATTTATGGTTTGATTAGGCTCTTAAGATTAACAAAGGTAGCTGTACTAGGTGCCTTTTGCAGGTGTATAGTGTTTAATTTGATCTGAGAGGATTTACACTGATTTTAAAGCTGATGTAGAGGGTTTACTCTTAACGTGTATATATGCACAGTTAAAATTGAGTATCGCTCTGTCCAAGTTTACGTGACATAATGAACACTTGAATGTTTGAAGGATTAAATACACGTCACCTGTGTCTTTTGGTGAAATTGTAGTTCGATTGTGTGAATGCTGGAGGAAGTCTGATATTCTTACTAGTCTGGCACAATAAAACTACTCAATAGATCAGTATCAGTCAGATTTTGAAAAGACCAATTGTTTTAGTTCTGATTGAAATTTAACCTTTAAAGTTCATGTAAACGGACATACTGACATAAGAACTAGTTTAGAGGTTTTACACTGGTCTGAGAGCTGGTTTACACAAAGCCGTTGTAATGGGGATTTGTATTTGATGATAAGCCCTGCAGGTACATGCTGATTAACAGCACATGCCTTTACTACAGCAGTACCCTGTGGCTTTGGAATTTATTGAGGGACCTGAGACTATGCGTAAAGCCCTGCTAACATTTCCACAGGCAGATTTTTCTGAGCACATTTCTGTGTGACACATTGTAACACTGAGATAGAGGGCAAACACACACGCACACACACACACACACACAGAGCAGCTTAATCATTTTCTCGCAAAAAAGAAAAAAAATCACGTGCTCACATTTTCAGCCATATTTGAATTAGTTGGGGAGTGTAAGTCGGAGGCTGTTTAGAGCGCATTCTGAAGCCTCATTCTCATGCATGAAGCTCCCATCAGCCCATTTCTACCTCTCTCTATCACATGTGACATGAAAATTGACCTCTGTGATCTCAAAGCTTAATAACACCTCCATCACCACTGTGACAAACAGTTGAAAGAGATAGATAGAGGATTAATACCAAGTAACCATCTCTGCCTCAACCTCCTCCTTTCTCTGTTTTTCTCTCTGTAGCTTTTTGCAACTGTTTCACCTGCCTCTCCGTATGGTGCACTTAGCTCTACTAACACTCAAAAATCCAAATGGATGACTCACACTCAGACGTGCAATGGCAGCACACACATGATTGGTCAACTCTGGTCTTCTTGAAACATGACCTATAGCTAAAACATAAAGCATTATTTCCCACACATGTATGTTATTGACAACATCCCGATTCATAGAATGGTAGTTTATTGATCAGATTCCCTATGGCACAGTACATCTAGTATGCAATCATGTATTGATTCAAAAGTGTTTTTCTTAGTTTGCACTGAAACAACGTGTCTGACACCGCACTCAAATCAGAGAGAAAACACACTCATATTTGTTTCTTTATCTTCCCTCAACCAGTCAGAGGATCTGTAGTGAAAAAGTGTCCAAATGTCACCAAACAGCGTGTCCTCATAAGGTCCTGCATTTTGAACCTGCAGATGGGTCTCATTCTTTCTTTTGCTCTTAATAGAAAAATATTTTATAATTCCAATGTTTCCATTTTATTGCAGAATTCTTCCTATTGGTCGATAAGTTCGGAGGGAGTTGTTCTGTTGCCCTATTACATTCGTGTGTTTGACCAATAGGGTCTTTCGGCATACCTGTGTCCTCGTGATCGGAACTTGGCAGTGCTCAATGTAATTCCCATAGCCAAGTAAACGAAAGGTCTCTTGGCCCATGACCATGTCTCGCAAGGGTACGAATCTGGTGTATCCAAGAATTGTTCTCTGTGTGTCCAGAGCCATGTGTTAAGCCGATGTCCATCGCATTGATATAGATCCGTCAGAGGTGAAGAATAAGCGTCATTCTCCCCGTCCTGAGCAGGCCAGTGTCATCTTCCACTTTCTTCTCTTTGAGACGTCAGCCCTGCTGTCATATCTCTGTTGGACCCCACCTCTTACCTCCACCTGCTTGGATCCTTCTCACAGAGTGGTGTAAATGTAAACAAACACTATGACAAAGAGGTTCAAGAAGGTGCCAATGATCCCCAGCAGGGCCAAGATAGACTCCTCTCGCTCCTCTTTTCCCTCTAGCGCCCGAACCTCCTCTATACTGACGGTGGTCGTTCCCATTCTGACCCCCCCACCTCTGTCTCCAGGGTGCTTATCTGTGGAGAAACAGGAGAGCAACGTGAGAAAAACAATCAACAAGATGTGGAAGCCTCTTTCTGTTCCTCCATGTGGACCTTACGTTCTCAGACGGCCACCAGAAGCACTCATCCAGAAGCCAGACCAAACGCCCAGTGGAGCGGCACAGAGGGTGAGATTTTATCTCTCCACTGATTGCCCAGCTGCGAGTGTGGCGTAATGAACACAAAAGAGGATGTCTCCCCCCACCTCTGTGATGGATTTCCCCCTCAGAAAATGATATTTCCCTGCGGAGCTGCTACAACAGGGCGACTCTCAGCAGCTGAGATGATTTACTGTACATTTTAAAGCGTCTCACTTGCTGTTTGCCTCTGCCACGCACACTAAACGATAGCTCTTTTCTCATCCCGGCATTTCTTTATGGTATAGCATGGTGCCACCTTCATTGGAGCACACATACGTACAACTAGGTACCAGAACATCAACCCCGATAAGCAGCTTGGGGCCAAACATACAGCTCGGCGAAGTGGACAATAAACCAGTTGGACAGACTGACACAAACGGTGAAGAGAGAGCGAGACGATAATCATAGAAAGTGTAGGAAGAAAACAGGCAGTCTTACCCTACGGCGTGGGAGATCTGGGGGAAGATCCAGCATGCTGTGGGCTCATCACAGGAGAGGCATATCTGGGTTGACGGCAACATGAGGGCCAGCTGGCCAAACATCCGATGTCACCGAGATAGTAAAGAAGGAGAAAAGAAAAATTGAGAGGTGGAGAGAGAGAGAGAGAAAGAGAGAGAGAGAGAGAGAGGGTAAAAGAGTAGGTCTACAACAGCATCTCTTTGAGCCGTGCGCGTTACGCAGACAACAATCTCAGTCCCCAACGTCCCTCCCCTTCGCTCTCTCTCCGTCTCTCTTTTCCTATCTCTCTCCCTTCTAGCTTTCTCTCGCTCTTTCTGTGTCAGTATTCCAGCCTCATTATGTATCACCAGACCTTTCTTTTGTTCCACATTCATTCAGTTCTTTTATTCTTGAGTGTTGTTTATTTTGTAACGCCTTACACCTTTCATTCATAGGAGGCTCGGAGAAATCCATTGCCTGCTCTCCTTTTCCCTCCCTCTCCCATGCTCTCCTTTTACCAAAATATCCCTTAAAAAAATCCCTCTCTTCCTCACCTCCTTTCTCTCCCCCTCCCACTCAGTGTCACACGCTCCCGTTCTCTGCTGTCACTCTTGTCTATCTGACCCTTTTAGCATCTGAAAGTGAGGCGTCTAAGCATTTATAATAAACACCGGCCCCCACCTTATCTCCTTTTCCTCCTCCGCGATTTCTTTCCCTTCTTCTTTTGCGCTCCTCTTTTTCTTTGGGTGTAGAAGCGCTACAGATGCGCGCAAATGCCTCCGGACACTCATGAGATTGGTGACCTGCAGCTGCGAGCTCCCCACCCTGCTTTTCTCCGTCCGTAGCCGATGGCTGTCATGTGGTTATAGGTCCCGTCTCGGAGTCTGAGAGCACCGTGCATTGCATAACCAAGCAGAGCGACTGGTAACCGCGGAAACAGAGCGAACGAGGGAGATCGGAGAGGGTGGGCGGCGAGAAGGCTCACACGTCAAATGTCTTTATTGCCAAGAACAATGTAAAGCTACAGAGAGATTAGGAGAAGAGAAGCATCCTAATGGAGAGGAGGTGTGGAATGGTAGCCACTTGATCTCTAACATAAGAACATAAAACTGACATGAAGTGTCTTCTGATTATCGATAATCACATACTATTTTTCTGGCTTTTTTGATTAGTTATTCTGTCCTCATAATAAAGAACTGAGCCTCAGCCTGAGTGCATTAACATTTTCTTTCTTGTTTTATTTGCAAAAATAGCTACGAGTAGGCAGGAAATGATGAGGAGATTAGGGATGAAAGGATTGGAAATGAGCTTGACTTAAACTTGCAATGGCTGCATGCACCAAGGCACTATGTTTCAGAACTTATTAGCCTGCTTACTCTAGGCTAATGCACAGTTGTTTGGTGTTTTTTTTTTTTGTTTTGTTTTTTTAAGTACAGCCATTTCCTCAAACTTTTTTGATTTTAAGCACTCTTTAAAAAATATTTTTGTGTAATTTTCCAGTATAAAGATCAAAATATCCCAGAAACAAAATAAATTCACTTGAGAAGCAATACTTTATCAAGGGTTTTAAAGTACGCATTTTTAATCTGTCTATTTTATATTGCTGTATTGGCCTTTGTCGAAAGACTAAATAAAAAAAAAACTCAATAAGAAGTCGTTTTTCTGAGGAAGATTTATGGATATATTTCATTGAACAGTTTAGAAAATGATCACATTGACATTTCAAATGAAATTTATCCCTGAACTTTAGATCGCGGGCCCCTCACATTAAATAAATGTTATTTAAGTGGCCTTTAATGCTGACCGATTTGAAGATGAAATGTGAAGAAATGGTTTTCTTGTAATCCTCGTCTACTGCAGCCCAGCTCGAAACTCAAACGCAAGCTACCGTGATCACAGCGTGTCCGAACACTGACTCAGCCCTACCCTTGAGGAGCATGATTCTTGTTTCCTTACTCACCATCAGTGGAAATAAAGTACACCGCCCTCATCCTCCTTGTGTACATCTGAACATTCCTTCCCCCTATCCGTTTTACGATTCTCCATCCTGCTCTTTGCCCTTATCTAGTCTCCTGTCCATTGGTGTGTGTTAATAAACTATCAACCTCATTGTCCACATTAACATTTTAATAGAAGGGGAGAGAGTACAAGATCTGTATACACTCCGTCCCTGCCACATCCAGTCCGATAAAATCATATATCAGTGTTATGTGATACATAAATAAGTTGGTTTACTTCTAGCAACCATCAGACCTCAGCAAAGCCAGATCAATTATTTACTGTTTCAATCTGAAATGATTCTGACCTCTGGGCAGACGTACTGTTACAGGAGGTCAATACCTGCAGGCACAACTATACCAGTCTGAGAGGAAGTAGTTGACTGTAGAATCTTGAAACAGCATTTGCAACCCAATTTACCTCTGTAATGTTTTTTTTTTTTTTTTTTTGAGTGAAAAGGCTATTAGGTAGGTGTTACATAGCAAAAAGGTGCCAGGTGGTTTGAAAGGGAGGGATTGAATGTATTTGTTTAGTTTCTTTCCTTTTTTGAAGTTACATACAGTATAACAATGATGACACGATAATTTTTTAATCATTTACTATTTTTTTTATAATAAGGTTTTCATTATACTGCTTCAACAAATGTTTGTATATATTTTTTACTTTTTACTTCTGTCTCAGTGGATTAGCTGTTTCAGCAGTGTTAAAGTTTTACTGTAGTTCAATGTCAGTGTTTCATCCTGATGCTTCCTGAGGTACAGATGGAGTGAGTGATTGTGTGTGTTGACACATTCGTGGTTATAAAATCTTATAGCAAACTTCATTTGCTTTAATCATCTTCGACATTATTGTTTGAGAGCATGTCTCATGCCAGGACAACACCCCACCCCTCTCTAGCTCTTTCTTTTGTTCTCTCTTTGTAGCTCTCGCTCTCTCTTTGATAATTAGTATAGGCACATTTCACCATAATGTGCAGAAATTATTGCACAGTCCAATTAAATGAAATTATCATGTGGGTGAATTCCCTCGGCCCCGGATATTTCAAACGAATCAAAATGAACACGGCAGGTTAGAAGCCATGCAGAAAGAGGCAGGATATTTTTTCAATCTGCTTTAAGTGGAGTTCCTTGTCAATGAGCCATTGTTTATATTCATTTATTTGTTTGTAATTTTCTCTCTCTGGAGTTGTGGATCATATAATCATCAAGCTGACAGCCGGTGGTGGGCGATTATGAAGCGATCTCATTACTGTATGTGTGTGTGACCATAATATTCTGAACAGATTGTGCTGCCTCAAAGATCTGCTCATGTTCTAATATTGATGATCTATTAATATCTGCTTCTAATCACTTAAGATCAGACTGCCGCCTTTGACCTCTGATGCTCTTCTGTAGCATAGAGGTTAACTCAATGTAAAATTCACAAAAATTATGCAATTTTTGGATTAAGGTTATTGTGATAAAAGGCCTTATTCATTAAAGGTCCCCTCACATGATTTTTTTTTTTTTTTTTCACTTTCTGAGGTTTTTTAACATTAATATGAAGTTCCCCTAGCCTCTATATTGTCCCCCAGTGGCTAGAAATTTCAATCAGTGTAAACCGAGCTTTGGTGATCTTTCTCTTCCTTTGAGAAAATGAAAGCTCAGACAGGCTGATCTTGAATCTCCCCCGTATGACGTCATACGGAGGAAAGGTAACCTTCTCTTTCTCTGCTTTGCCCGCCAGGGAATTTGGCTCGCCCATGAGAAAATGAGTTGGGAATTCTGAACGTGATTTGAGTATTTCCACAAGAGATATCATAGATTGCAAAGAGCAAAGCATGCCAGTTGATCAGTGTTTGGATGTACAAATGACCACAAAAAAATTTTTTAGTTAATGGTTAAGTTTTACTTCATCCGCGCCTCTGAAGAAACAATGGGTTAATTTTATTTTCTCTGGAAATGTGCCGACAGAACTTCCCAAAGTTTTGTTTGGTCCAAACATTTTGCCAACGACCGTTTCCTCAACTTGGGCCAATACAGAACTGGCCTCGATGAACTCTGAAAATAAATCGATCGAGTTACCAAGCAACAATTTCTGAGGTGTAATTTAGCCTAATAGTTCAAGTTCAGTTAATCTCTCTCTCAACATCGTTCAATACTGTTTAAGCATCAGTAAGTCAAGCCAGTGACTAAAATATCAACTGCACATTGTTTCTTTTAGTGGGATGAGATCTTATTTAAATTGTGAACAAATTATACATAAAGCAATCAAAGAACAATCTTTCCACACAGCGCGAGTTTATCTGGACAACTCATTATGAAATCAATGACACACGTTACACTGCACAACGAAGCTCTTACTGTATGTACATCATCGTGTTTGCATTGGTGAAAGCATTAGAGAGAGTGCAGAAACTGCGTTGCAATGATGATATCTTCATTTTCTCGATCAACAGACTGTCATCTGCTTGCTCAATGCTCAACACAGCAACATTTTATGTGATGAGAATAGATCTAAATACTTTAAAAACTTCTCACGATTCATAAATCTCTATAGTTGTAGTAGTAAAAATGTATAATAGCTTTAGTAAAGGTATGTGAGAGAGTTTCAAATGTAATGCGTAGCTATTTCATATGCAAGCATTTGGTTACACTGAATCCCACAGCAGACACGCCCCTTCTAACAGAGTGTTCAAATCAGAGGGTAAAATCAGGCTAGGAAATTAAAATTATGACTATTTTTGATCTAAAAAACATGCAAACATTATAAGGGCAACTCGGGAAACGTTATAAAATAATAACACACCTATAAAAAAAAAAAACACCTTTAAATTCAAGCAATGCGAATCTGCGATCGTTTGGAATCATTTATAAATTCCTTGCATTTTTGTAGTCAGTTGTTCAACACAGGTTTTTTTTTTTGTTTTTGTTTGTTTTTACTACTTCCAGGAAACACAAAATGAGTAATTCTGAATAATAAACTTGCTGCAATTATAAATTACGATTGCATGTAGATTTGAGCTTTTACGCATCAAACATTTTAATAATAATAAAAAAAAAGACTTTATAGCTCCAGTCCTTGTTTACTTTCATTACATGGAAAAGAGTGACCAGGAAATTATATATTACATTTATACACTATATCATTAGTTTAAAAAAAAAAAAAACTAGCAACGATCTTAAAATAACTGTAAAATTATCAGGTTAGTCACTTTTGCAACCAGTTTTGGCACTCAATTTTTTAGTGGTAGTCATTAGGGTACACCCCTAGTCTTGAAACTTGAGTGTATTTATATAGCTTTTAAAACAGAAGTTGATGGTGTAACACAGACCTTGAGCAAGGTTCTGCAGAGACTCACAGAAATGGACAGTGCTGAATTGGGTCAGCTCTGACAAGCTTTTCAAACCTGCCGCAACATCCTGCAGGATGCACTCCTACTCCCCTCGATCAAACACCAAAAATGGAGAGAGTGAGTGATGGCTTGGAAACCTTTTAATGGATGTGTGTGCACTCATCCAATGCACATTCATGCCTTTACCTTTTTTTTCCTTCTCTAAATCTCCACCACGATCATCATTAGTGGACAAACTCTGAACAATGCACACAATTCATATCTGACAGTCGAAACCTGCAAGATAAATTATTTTTTTTCTAGCTGAGGTTTTTTCCCCCAGTGTACTGTTTCTTTTTCTCATTAAGATGTTTGTAGTGAAGGGTTGTAATAGCAGTCAGCCGGTTTTCTCCGCTGTGATCTATTAATATTAGGGATGTGCAAAATAGATTGTAGTTTTTGTTTTAACAATGTGCAATCTGATATTATCGAGTATGTCCCTCACTTTAAAAAAAAAAAAAACACTTTTAGAGAGTGCATACACTAATTGATCTAGCCTTTTCAGTTTAGCTTAGACTGCACGTGCACATTTACACAGCACGCTCTCACTGCTTAATTTACTCAATTATAAAATTAATAGCACATTTGCAG